CTATCGGGCAGTTATTCTCTGTCTTATAGTGTTGCTGTGAGTTGGAATCGACTCAACAGCAATGGGTTCATATATATACACACACACACACACACACACACACATACACACACACATATACATGCTTAACAAGTTTTGCTTCTTTAGAGAACCCAGCCTAAGACATTTGGTACCAAGAGTGGTTCCAGAGAAACAAAATTGTAAACATGAGTTTTCTAAATTGGTTCTCAAGTCTGATTAATCTTAAAGATGTTGATGGCTCTGCTACCAGTAGTAAAGAGGGTACTACTAACCCATGGCCTGAGGTAGCAATAAAAATATGCACCATATCACTACCAATAGATCAAGTATTGGTGAGGGACGATGCTCTGAGTGATCACATGTTTGATATTTTTCTACAATTTTGTGAGAATGAGAAATATAAGGAAGCTGGTTGGTTGGTCCTATGTTTGTTAGACAAAGTGGTGAAAAAAAGAGATGAGCTCAGGGCTTCAGAGTCAAAGTTCAAGAGCCACATAAATGACCTTGAAGTTTCTTGTGCCCTGAAAAAAAGCCTTATTTCTTGTAGTAACAGAGCTGATATTGCTAAAAACAGAACCCAGAGTCTTATCATAAGAGTGGCTGAATTTCAATGCCACTTGAATTCCCAAACTTGAATGGTGTCTGAAGTTAAAGTGAGGGCATTGATTGGAAAGAAATGGGATTCTGAAACTTGCAATGGTGACATATGGGCAGATAATCAGGAAGCTGGGGACACTGAGACCCTAAATTCCATTGAATCACTCCTGCCAACAAAACTGTTAGCCCCTCCACCCCTATCTGATGAGATTAACCCAACTGTGTCTGAAGAGCCTTTGTCTGAGTCATCGCCTGGGGAGGTGTCTAAGTCATTGCCTGGGGCATCACCTGAGGCAGATGCTTTACAAGACACTGCTGAATGTTCTCAAAACACATCCCCACCACCCATTTTGGCTTCTAGACCTATAATTATACTTAAATTCCCAGTGAGCCCGGAAAGGTAAACTACAAAGTGTGACTGAGGAGGAGGTATGCTACACTCAAAGACCTGCTTGACTTTTCTAATATGTACACAAATAAACCTGGGGAATATGTGTGGGAATAGCTATTAAGGGTGTGGGATAATGGTGCAAGTAACATAAAGTTGCATCAGTCTGAGTTTATTGATAGGGGCCCACTAAGTACAGATTCTTCATTCAATGTTTCAGCTCGAGATGTTAGGAAAGGATCTAATAGTTTATTAGGTTGGGTTACTGAGGCATGGATTACACGGTGGCCTACGCGAAATCAACTTGAAGTACTGGACCTGCCTTGGTTTACTGTAAAAGAAGATATCCAAAGGCTTAGGGAAACTGGCATGTTAGAGTGAATTTATCAGGTTAGACCCACAGATCCACAAATGGAGTGCCCAGAGGACACACTTTTACCACAATGGTTAGGAACAAATTTGTAAAGGGGGCCTCAGGATCATTGAAGACTTCTGTGATTGCTATTTTATATAAGTCAGATTTGGCAGTGGGAGCTGGTGTAACTGAATTAAGACACCTAACTACAATGGGGTTGACTGGATCCCATGGTGGTAGAGGCCAAGTGGCAGCACTAAGTCAACAAAGACAAGGTGGATGTGGATACCGTAATGGACAGTGGAGTCAAAGCAGTAATCAGAATAGTTGGACCTGAATGGACTTATGGCATTGGCTACTTACTCATGGTGCCCCTAGGAGTGAAATAGATGGTAAACCTACTAAATCTTTACTTGATCTGTACAAATGAAAGAATTCTAGATCAAGTGAACATCAGACTAACTTGAATCACCAGAATAGAGTCACTGCCCCTCAATCAGTTCCCAGACTTGAGTGAGTTTACAGACCCACAACTCCTTGAATGAAGGGGTGGGTGAATTCCCTTGAGGAAGGAACCCACTATACGCCAAAATTTTATACTGTTAATCTTTCTCCCAGCCCTCCCCAAAGGGATCTATGGCCTTTTACAAGAGTGACTGTTCATTGGGGAAAATGAAATAATCAGACTTTTTGGGGATTACTGGATACTGGTTCTGAAATGATGCTAATTCCAGGAGACCCAAAACATCACTGTGGCCCACCAGTCAGGGTAGGGGCATATGGAAGTCAGGTTATTAATGGAGTCTTAGCTCATGTCTGTCTCACAGTGGATCCTGTGTGTCCCTGAACCCATCCTGAAGTGATTTCCCCAGTTCCAGAATGCATAACTGAAATACATATACTCAGCAACTGGTAGAACCCCCAATCAGATCCCTAACAAGGGCTATTATAGTAGGAAAAGCCAAGTGGAAGCCATTAGAACTGCCCCTACCTAGGAAAATAGTAAACCAAAAGCAATACCACATTCCTGGAGGGATGGCAGAGATTACTGCCACCATCAAGGACTTGAAGGATGCAGGGGTGGTGATTCCCACCCACATTCCCATTCAACACACCTTTTCGGCCTATGCAAAAAATAGATGGATCTTGGAGAATGAAAGTGAAGTATCAAAAACTTAACCAGGTAGTGACTACAGTTTCAGCTGGTGTTCCAGATGTAGTTTCATTGCTTGAGCAAATTAATATAGCTCCTGGTACCTGGTATATAACTATTGATCTGGCTAATGCTTTTTTCTCCATACTTGCTTCGAGGGATTAGTAGATCTTTGCCTTCAGCTGGCAAGGCCAGCAATACACCTTCAGTATCCAACCTCAGAGGTATACTAGTGCTCCACCCCTATGTCATAATTTAGTCCACAGGGAACTTGATTGCCTTTCCCTTCCACAAGATGTCACACTGGTCCATTGCATTGATGACATTATGCTGATTGGACTTAGGAAGGAAGAAGTGCCAATGACTCTGGACTTATTGGTAAAACATTTGCATGCTAGAGGGAGGAAATTAATTCTACAAAAATTCAGGCACCTTCCACTTCAGTGAAATTTCTAGAGGTTCAGTTGTTTGGGGCAACCTGAGATATTCCTTCTAAAGTGAAGGATAAATTATTGCATCTGGCCCCTCCTACAACTAAAAAGGAGGCACAAGGCTTGATGGATCTTTTTGGATTTTGGAGGCAACATATCTCTCATATGGGTGTGCTACTCCATCATATTTATTAAGTGATTGAAAAGTTTCTAGTTTTCAGTGTGGCCCAGAACATGAGAAAGATCTATAACAGGTTCAGTTTGCCATGCAAGCCATCTGCCACTTGGGCCCTATGACTTTGCTGAACCAAGGGTGCTTGAAGTGTCCGTGGCAGGAAGAGATACTGTTTGGAGTCTTTGGCGGGCCCCTATTGGTGAATCCCAGCAAAGACCCTTAGGATTTTGGAGTAAAGCCCTGTCATCCTCTGCAGATAACTACTCTCCTTTTGAGAAACAGCTTTTGGCTTGTTACTGGGACTTAGTATTAGTAGAGATTGAATGTGTAACCACGGGACACCAAGTCACCACGTGGCCTGAGCTGCCCATCATGAACTGGGTGTTGTCTGACCCACAGAGTCATAAAGTTGGAGGTGCACAGCAGCACTCCAACATTAAATGGAAGTGGTATATACAGGATCGGGACTGAGCAGGACCTGAAGGCAAAAGTAAGTTTCACGAGGAAGTTGCCCAAATGCCCACGGTCTCCACTCCTGTTACATTACCTGCCCTCTCTCAGTCTGCACCTATGGCCTCATAGAGAGTTCCTTATGATCAGTTGACTGAGGAAGAGAAAACTCATGCCTGGTTTACAAGTGGTTCTGCGTGATATGCAGGCAGAACTATAGCCCCTTTCTGGGACCTCTCTGAAGGACAGTGGTGAAGGGAAATCCTCCCAATGGGCAGAACTTTGAGCAATGCACCTGGGTGTTCACTTTGCTTGGAAGGGGAAGATGTGTGACTGTATACTGATTCATGGGCTGTAGCCAATGGTTTGGCTGGATGGTCAGGGACTTGGAAGGAACATGATTGGAAAATTGCAGACAAGGAAGTATGAGGAAGAGTTATGTGGATAGATCACTCTGAATGGGCCAAAGAAATGAAGATATTTGTGTCTTATGCAAATGCTCATCAAAGGGTGAACACAGCAGATGAGGATTTTAACAATCAAGTGGAGAGCATGATGCATTCTTTGAAAACCAGTCATCCTCTTTCCCTAGCCACACCCGTCATTGCTCCATGAGCTCATGAACAAAGTAGCCATAGTGGCAGGAATGGAGGTTATGCATGGACGCAGCAACATGGACTTCCACTCACCAAGGCCGACTTGGATACAGCCACTGTTGAGTGTCCAATCTGCCAGCAGCAGAGACCAACAATGAGTAGCCAATATGGCACCATCCCTCAAGGTGATCAGCCAGCAACCTGGTGGCTAGTTGATTACACTGGACCACTTCCACTGTGGAAAGGACAGTGGTTGGTTCTTACCAGAATAGACAATTACTGAGGATATGGATTTGCCTTCCCTGCACTCAATGCTTCTGCCCAAACTACCATCCATGGACTTACAGAATGCCTTATCTACCGTCATGGTATCCCATACAGCATCACCTTGGATCAAGGGACTCACTTCACAGCAAGTGAAGTGTAGTAATGGGTTCATGCTCATGGAATTCACTGGTCTTACCATGTTCCACATTATCCTGAAGCAGCTGGCTTGACAGAATGATGAAATGGCCTTCTAAAGACACAATTACGGCACCAACTAGGTGGCAATACCTTGTAGGGTTGGGGCCCAGGAGGCTGTATATACTCTAAACCAGCGTCCAATATATGGTGCTGTTTCTCCCATAGCCAGGATTCATGGGTCCAGGAATCAAAGTGTGGAAATGGGAGTGGTAACACTGTTACCCCGAGTGACCCACTGGCAAAATTTTTGCTTCCCGTCCCCGCAACCCTATGCTCCGCAGATCTAGAGATCTTAGTTCCAAAGGAAGGAATGCTCCCACCTCAAGGCACATCACTGATTCCCTTGAACTGGAAATTAAGAATGCCACTTGGCCACTATGGGCTCCTTATGCCTCTGGATCAACAGGCAAAAATGCGAGTTACCATACTGGCTGGTGTAATTGATCCTGATTACCAAGTGGAAACCGGACTGATATTCAACAGTGGATGTAAAGAAGAGTATGTCTGGAATGCAGGAGATCTCTTAGGACGCCTCTTAGTACTACCAGACCCTGTGATTAAAGTCAATGGAAAACTACAGCAACCCAATTCCAACATGACTACTAATGGCTCAGACCCTTCAGGAATGAAGGTTTGGGTCACCCCACAAGGCAAAGAACCATGACCAGCTGAGGGGCTTGCTAAAGGTAAAGGCAATACGGAATGGGTGGTGGAAGAAGGTTGTTCCAAATACTAGCTATAACCACGTGACCAGTTGCTGAAACAAGGACTGTAACTGCTATGAATATAAGTATAAAAAAAGCCCACCCCCAATTCTTGTGGATTGGTTGATGATAGTCATTTCTGGATTGGATCCTTCAAATTTGAAAGACGTAAGTGAATGTGTGTGCATACACACTTAGTTATTGAATACAATATTTCTACCCTGCCCATCTGCAATATATAAATGAAAAGTGCCTACAGGTTGGTAAAATATATTTTATTTGTTCATACAAAGAAACAGTATGAATTACCAGAATTTCATTTTCCTAGAAACATCTTTCTCTGTGTAAAATTAATTTGTGTTATACATAGGACAAAATACTTGTTTTAATTTTTTTTGTACATATTGGCTATTCTAACATCCAGGTTATAGAAAGACACACTGCTAGAATTTGCACAGTATTTCATATTACTGGGCTGAATGAAACTCAGTCATAAATTAATGTTATGAAAGTGAAAAAGAAATCTAACCACACCTTTACTTTTTATGGATCATCCTTCTTGATAAACTAAAAAGAAAAATGACATCGACTTCTGTGTCAGCATTTTAGATACATACCAAGTGTTTCTGGTTTATTGGAACCTTCTATTTTCCTTTCTTACAAAAATATCCCGGCAGGATCTGAAATGTGTTTCTCCAAAAGGTCTAAAATGCACATCACTAAAAATGACTCCCAAAGATAATCTTATGAAGACAATTTTTCCTCCTCCATTATCAAAGTAAGTATATATTATGCAGTCACTATACCTAAAATACCTAAGTGCCACCTACCAAGTTAACATACTACTGTACAAAGTCAAAGAAAGCCCGTGATAGATAAGAACAATAAAAACCTCCAATTTTTTGTTTTTCATTTTTTTAATGAGGAAAGAAAAAAAACTGGTAGGAATAAAATACTACAATGAGTACCAGAGGTTTTCCCATAAACTGGGAGAAACCCAACACGTGTACTGGGACAATCTGCCAAAATGTGAAATGATGTATGTCTTCTAGCAGCTAAAAAGTATGGTGGCCTTGCAGATTGCAAGGCCAGGAAGAAACCCAAGGCTCAATTTTACGTGTTGCATAACTTCTCCAGGGAAAAGATATGGGGACTCAGGCTCTGTAATAACTGTCCCATGATAAGGTGTCACCAGGGGGCAGATGCTATGTCAGGACCAGTCAGAAACATAAGCTAGCAGACCCTTATGAAGAGACGCACATGGTATTTGATTTATTTGTATTACATAGAAAAATTTGTTTTACTCCATCAGTGCTAATTATTGACATCTGTTTGGATTCGAGGATTTGACCCAGGAAAGAATTTTGACCCAGTTCAGTGTTCATAACTAAATGATCCTTCTCTATCTGAACATTTCCTGTTTCAGTTTTATTTTAAGTCAAGGAACAAACAACTTAATCGAAACTTGTTTAGCGTGGGAGGAGGGCAGGGACCTGAGGGGAAGGAAAAGCTCTGTCTGGTTTGCCCTCCCGCTTGGTTGCACGCCCTTCTCTTCCATTTTCTGCAGTTCTACAGGCCGTGCAAGTGGCCAGAAGGTGGACGTGGCAGGACTAGGTGGAGGACTTGGATGTTGATTTTTACGTTAAGTAATTTTATGCTGTAACTGAAAAGAGCTGTTCTTAGTTTTCTTTCAAATCAGCCTTCCAACAGGAAAAAAACATGTCCAACTGGCTCTTCTACAGACATCTTTGATACCCAAGCAGCAAGGGGGAGAACCATGCTATGACTGTGCTTTTCCAAAGCTGCAGGTTCTGCACTACTTGGCAGAGTCAGTAAGAAAGCTGCGGCATGAATTTTACAACTGGTGAAGGAGGCACGGAGCCCTCAGTGGCCATCCTCCCACAGAGAACCTGCACAACGACAGCTTGGCTGCTAAGCGTAAGCTAGCTGGATCTGGACTACAACTTGTGGGACAATACAAACCAGACTGTCAACAAGACATCCCGTAAAGACCAGTGACGTCTCTGATCAGCTTCTCAAAATGAGTTACCGTTTCTTTCTTCATCTAACAGTTTTCTTACGCTATCAGGCAAGTTATTGTGTACAATGTACAAAAGTTCCTTTATAAATGTAACAACCCAACCATTTTGATGTGATGTATATCGTCCCACATATTCCTTGATGAAACAATTATTTTATGGTTGAGGCATTCTCGCTTAGAAAACTGAGAACAGACTGAATATGTCATTAGGTGATATTGCTATATATCATTACCAACTGTTACTAGCTAGTCATTATCAATGATCCCCAATTGGTCTCTCAACACAGAGGCTTGGGAGAACATCCTGCACCAGCAGTAACAATGCTGGCAAACCCTCTGCCAAGACCTGGCTAAAGCAAGGGGCAGCTGCACAAGTGTCAGGTTCGAGGGCTTACAGACAATATGGGGCCAGCTCTCCCAGCCGCCTTTACAAGGGCCACTCCTGGCTCTGCTGTTTGGCTCTTGGCTGCAGACCATGTTGTCATTCTGCAAGGACCTAGGATTCCCAGGGAAGAAGTTCCAGACACCAAGAAGGGGTGCCAATGATCTCCTCCTCTGCCAGACCACCTGTCATTTTGGGGCCTTTGTTTTTTCTCCCCATTGAGGTTGTCACCCTACTGAGCGTGCCCAGTGAAGGCTGGCTCTGCACCCAGCAGCATCTTGGCAGATGCTGATGGTGTGGGATGCACCTGACCCCTTCGGAGCTTGATGCCCAGCACCCTTGCTTTGTGCCAGAGGCTCTGCTAGCCTGTGGGATTCTTTGGTGTGTCAAAGTAGAACTGTCTTCCCGGAGAACAGAGCGTGGTGGGCTCACAGACAAACTAGAGGAGATCATCTTTATTTCTAAAGAAGCATTTCACACCCGTGACCTGGAAAAGAGGGAGCTCATACTTGCACACACTTCAAGCCGGGAAATGAACCCGGGAATGGGCAGAAGAAGATGCGGGATCATCCTACAAAAGCTACGGTAAGTGGGCCTTGGCAGTCAGATCCCAAAAGGGTATGGGTGTCTCTGCAAAGGCAGTGATTCCTCCATGTGCTGAGTGAACTTGGAAAGAAGCCTAGCTCTGTGGTTTGGCATCTACCTCCTTGGGAATGGTAACACATCAACAAGGGAGCTGCTGCATGAGGTATGACCTGCAGGCACAGCCGTGCGGAGGCAGCTCAGCGCTCCTACAAGGTACACAGGCAGGAGGTGAAATGGAAGCTAGAATCTGAGATCCAAGACACAAGGAGAAGGCAAGTGAAGAGTCCAGATGATGACTGAAGGCTGAATACCCGTAACAACAAAAATCTCCAAGTTGTGCTTTTCTTCGTTTTAAATAGAATGGGCAGGAGAAAATGGAAGCACCATCAAGAACAACAAAATATCAGAGTTAAACACTTTGGAATGTTAACAGATTATGAAGCTAACTCTCTAAAGAGTGTGGCTAGGCAGCTTAGTGAATTAATTGCTTATGAACTAAAAATAAATTATTATAAAATAGATTTCTGTACATTTTACATACATATAATTTCTCTCAATATATAAGCCACATGGTAAGTTACACAGCCTCAATCTGTTCAGTCCCAGCCAAAGTCATGCCCGGTCATCTGGTAGAACTTGAGGTTGAAGGGCCGGTAGAAGTCCCGCAGTCTCCGCACCACCTCCGGGTCTATCTCGGGGTGAGCCCTGCCCTTGGTCTTGCCCAGGCAGTGGGGTTTGCTGCTGCCCTCGGCCTTCTTGAGGCAGGGGAAGCCCTTGGTCTTGTTGAAGTAGAAGTGCTTGTCGGTGATGATCCTCTTGAGGCCCAGGAAGTCCTGCACGCGCCCCAGCTCGCCGGCCGGGTCCCGGATGAGCCGCTCCCCGCTCACGAAGAGCATCTGGCGCAGGGGGAAGTGCAGCAGCCAGTGCTCCAGGTGCTTGGCGTACAGGCCGATCTGGATGGCGCTCCACGACGTGTCGATGAGGCCTGTCGTGCGGTTGCGGAACGTCAAGTTCTCGAAGGTGGGGATGTCGGGACGCTTGGAGAGCGTCTGCGTGTAGTCCGAGATGGCTCTGGTCACGGGGTCGCGCACCACCACGATCAGCTTGGTGTCCCTGGACATGGCCGAGATGCGCGCCGGCGCCTCCCTCGTGACAAAGTAACTGGGCGTCTTCTCCATGGTGATCTGCCCGTCCAGGGTTCTCGGCATCAGGTCCCTGAGAAAAGCAAACAAACCAAACTAGGGTCAGAAGGTGATGACTCTTTGGCCACACATCTCAATGTTAATACTCCCCATCCTGTCCCTTCTTCATAAAAACTATTGGCCAACCAGTGGACTCCAACTCACGGTGATCCCATGTGGGTCAGAGTGAAACTGTGCTCCACAGGGTTTTCAATGGCTGATGTTTTGGAAGTGGATCACTAAACCTTTCTTCTGAGGTGCCTCTGGGTGGACTTTAACCATCAACCTTTGGGTTGGCTGCTGAGCCCATTAACCACTTGCGCTACCCAGGAACTCCTTCTATTACTGGGGACAACTGTAGAAACATGCAAAAAACACATGAGCTTAAAGGTATATCAACATTCCACCTGAAGTCTGGGGCCAGGTACTATGCATCTGAAATGTGAAGACATCTTTGTCCAAGGTGTCAAAAGAACAAGACGTGTTTCTCCAAGACGCTGTTGTAGGTGTCACCTCTCCCTTATTTTTCAGGGGACCCAAGTTTTAAAGACTGCTGATGGCAGAGGTGCCCCAAATGTGTGGTATCCAAAATACGTCTTTGTTTTCCCTTTACGAGCCTTTGGCCCTTGGATTTGTGTCTTCCTAAGGAACAGCATCCGGGGCTCCTGGAGACCATGAGATCTCTCTGTCCTGCCCTCCGATGCTCACCAAGCTGGGGCACACGTGCCTGGGCACTGGAAGAAAATACTCCCCTGGACGTTCATCAGAAAGACTGCTAACAACATGCATACCTGAGAGCAATCAAGCACGCCGCAGCCAAAACCATCAGGTGAAATCAGATGAAGCATCAACTGATGCAAAAAATGCCAAGAGGGAATTAATGAGACTCAACTCTAGGTTTCAAAAAATACCTCAGATTCCATTAAAAAAAAAAGACTTGTATGATACCTATCACAGCATTAATTAAACCAAAGTATGTAAGGTTGGCAGTTTGAACACACCCAGTGGCTCAGCAGGAAGAAAGTCCTGGCTATCAGCTTTTGTAAAGATTATAGCCAAGAAAACTCTATGGAGCAGTTCCACTCTGTAACACATAGAGTCGCCATGAGTCGGAATATGGTTCAACGGCAATGGGCTTGGTTTGTTTTTGGTTTATGTAGACAAACTGAGCTACAGTAGTTAAAGGCCATGATATTTGGACCAAAAAGCAGTTTTGTGGCGGCAATTAGAGCTAAAAATAACATGACTCGATGATGTAAGACCTTGGTTACAAGAAATTAAGTCAAAAGGCACATGAATAGAGCTGGTATTAGAAAACAACAGGTTGCAAATGCAAGTTATTACACAGCTTCTCGTATACAACTATGCAACTGGTGCCATAAAACAGACGGGCAACAAAGTCCTGACCAGAGCTTGGGAGCCTGTTGATGCTGCCAGTCCATTCCATAGGTTTTCAAGGAAGTCCACAGTAACTAATTAGACACCAAGTTTTGCTCACAGATCTGCAGTTTTCCATTAGCCCTGGGATAGACAGAGATTTCTGGTTTATTCCCACATGGGTCCTGCTCTAGGAAATGGAAACAGCAGGAAGAAAGGCCAGCAGGGGGTAAGATGGGAGGATGGGAGAAAAGGAACGCGGAAGCCCGTGGGTCTGGACGAAGGTACACATAGGGGAGGAGTGAAACATAAAAGCAGCTGTGAAAGCAAAAGAAAATACCTACCTAAGGTTCTGCGGCACCTCAGGAGAGAGGAAACTAAGGACAGGGAGCTGGGAGAGTGTCAGGTGAGATGTCCTCCTGGGAAATAGACTCCAGGTGTGTGAAGACAGGGGCTCTATTGACCCCATCGTGGTACAGCCTTACTAGCGAACATGGTGTCTACGCTCATTGCCATCAAGTTGATTCCGACTCATAGCAACCCTATAGGGCAGAGTAGAACCGCCCCTCAGGGTTTCCAAGGCTATAATCTTTACTGAAGCAGACTGCCACATCTTTCTCCCATGGAGCCCCTGGGTGGGTTCAGACTGCTAACCTTTGGGTTAGCAGCTGAGTGCTTAACCACTGCACTACCAAGGCTCCTGTCTGGGACAGTAGTAGGTGTTTAATAAATGGGTGGCATAACTGGTTAATGCACTTGGCTGTTAACCAAAAGGTTGGAGGTTTGAGCCCACCCAGAGGTACCTTGGAAGAACGGTCTGGCAATCTACTTCTGAAAAATCAGCCACTGGAAATCCCGTGGCACACAGTTCTACTCTGACACATACAGGCTTGTCATGAGTTGGAGGTGAGTCAACAGCAACTGGTTTTTTTGTTAATAAATACATGTTGAAAGACTGAATGGATAAGTGGTCTGGCTGATTGGTGAGCTCTGAATGAAAACATTAAAGGGTAAGAATATGGGCTTTGGTGTAAATGGACCTGGGTTCGAGTCCTTTGTCTACCACTTATTAGCTGTGTGACCAGGAAGCAACTTACTTACCCTCTCTGAGCCTCAGTATTCTAACACATAAAACAGTAAGAATTCTACCTCCTTCAGTTGTTAGGAGCCCTGGTGGCATAGTGGTTAACAGCTCGGCTGCTAACCAAGAGGTCAGCAGTTTGAATCCACCAGCCGTTCCTTGGAAACTCTATGGGGGCAGTTCTACCCTGTCTTATAGGGTTGCTATAAAATCAGAATCGACTTGATGGCAACAGGGTCAGTTGTTGTGAAGGTTTGTCATGTTGAAGCAGTTTAGCTTAGCAGTTAAGGAATATGGGCTCAGAAGTCAGACTATCTGGGTTCAAATCCTGGCTCTGCCACTTATAAACTGTGCCATCTTCAACAACTTCCTTAACTTTCCTGGCCTCACTTACAAAAACGGAAATAATCATACTTACCTCATGGGAGTTTAATGAGCATTAAAACAATTAATAATCATAATATGCTTAGAACATCCCTGACATATGGTATGTACTTGACACATAGTAGCTGTTATCATCATTAATATTATTAAAGTGCTCAGCACAGTTTGTGGGACATGGTAGGACCAAAATAGAGAAAGTGTATGCGCTGGTGTGTGTACAAGAAAGAGAGACATGTTAGCTAACTAAGTACCAAGTTTTGGCCTCAGATCTGCAATCTTCCGTTAACTATGGGATAGAGATTTCTGGCTTACTTCCATCTGGGCACAGGAATAAAACAAGATCATTTCCACATCGTTTTGGACCAAATACTTACCTCTCAGTAGGACATTCTAAACTTCCAATTTAAAGCCATCCCTAATCTACTGAGACCACATCTCCTCTACTGAGCACATCTGTAGAAATAATGATATAAACTATTTATCAGGAAAGCAGACAGGGCAGTTCCCTGGAGAGAGCTCCTTCTTCCAAGACCCGGCCAGCATGGAGTTAGAGAAGAATGTGTCTCCCTTAAAGAAGACTTCCTCAGTGGCCCTGGAGCCACCGTCGGCTGACACTAAACCTGGACTGACCCACTTTGCCTATTAACTACTTAGGTTAATGCAGCAGCAGCAGCAGGCTACTGTGATGGTGGATTAAAGAGAGCCCTGGTGCTCAGCTTATTTTGCATTTCACTCAACAGCAGGTCAAGTTCGATAATTCCAAGTCATTTTCCTGTGTTACATCATCTGCAACTGGACAACCAACAAGAGATTAGTCTTCAGAATCAAGGTGCCATCACTGAGATTCTCGGAATTCCCACACCCAAGGTTCCTCAGGGCCATTGCAGGAGGTGTGGTTTTGGGGTCTGTCCTCAGAGACTCAACCTGGCCTAGCATGGGCTCACTGGGTTGGACTCTCAGCGCCACCAGTGACAAGGTGTTTGACCCTGGGAAGGGCACTCCACCTTTCCGTGCCCCCATTTTCTCTACTGAACAATGAGAAACACAATGACAAACCACCTCATCCAGGGAGCCAATCTGTGCACAGCGCTCGGCCTAAACCTGGCCCTGATCGGAGCTAGGAAAATGTTATCAATTATCTTCTGTTGACAGGACTTTGGCAAGGCTGTAAGGAAGCCAAGGTTTGCACACAGGGGACTTGTCACTCACTTGGTTCCACCCCACAAAGGAGCGAAAGGGAAGGCTCAGCTCCTGCAAGAGGGAAAGGAACAAAAGTGTTGGATTCCACTCTCAGCCTGTCTGGGCTCTGAACATTGCTGCCTGCCTTTCCTCAGCGCCCTTACAGGAGAGCCTAATGGGCACACCCAAAACAGCTGAGGAGGCAACTGCCAATATGAAACCCCATAATAAAGCACTAGTTGCTTCCAGTCAACTCATGGCAACCCCACGTGTGTGAGTGCAGAACTGTTCTCCACAGCGTTTTCAAAAGCTGATTTTTCAGAAGTAGATCACCAGGCCTTTCTTCCAAGGCACCCCTGGGTGGACTCAAACATGGAACCTTTCAGTCAGCAGCTGAAGGCATTTACCATTTGTACTATCCAGGGACTCCAAGGAAAGCAGAGAGCTACACTACACTCAAGTCCAAAGTCAAAGCCTCCTCAGCCACAAGTAAGGACTCCTTGAGCTGTGAGCAGCTTACTGTGCTTGGCTGCCCTCAGGTCACTTAACTGTTCTGGGGTTTGTACAGATGTGTGGGAAATCACTCAAGGGACCTCAGGACTTTATCTCCTTGTCAAAATAATGGAGATGGCAGAGGGACTGACGTGGTAAAGGGACTCTCTGCCCTTGTCCATCGTGGGCTCCAGAGTCACTCCCCCCGCCACGTGCGCTTGGCTGCAGACCTAATGCAATGAGTGGCTGATGGGTTAGAAGCACAACTGGGTTCTCCATCATTCGGCAAACGTCTCCTGAGCCCTTGCCACGGAGTCCCTTGGGGGTGCAAACAGTTATAGTGCTTGCTAGTAACTGAAAGGTTGGTTGACAGTTTGAGTCCACCCAGAGGCACCTTGGAAGAAAGACCTGGTGATCTACTTCCAAAAAAAAAGAGCCACTGAAAACTTCACAGAGCACAGTTCTACTCTGACAAGCATAGGGTCACTGGGAGTCGGAATCGATTCAATGGCAGCTGGTGG